AAGAAAAATAAATCGAATGTATCCGACTATTTTATGTGAATGATAATGACATTATCACGATGTCACTTACTATAATAATATCATACAACATCATTGTTAACTAGTATCGAAGTTATTATTAATTTTGTTAAGAAACTACTCTTTATATTCATATTTAATAGTATTAAGCTATGAAGCACCGGCACAATGCTTACCCCCAATGTGCCAGTATTCGACACGTGTCCCAGGTTTGGACACGTATTCAACACCTCAAATCCATATCTTGACTTTTTAAAATAATAATATATATATATATATATATATATATATATAAAAGAACGAACACGTCAACGACACTCTAAAGGACATGGCTTAATGTGTGTGTGTGTGTGTGTGTGTATTTATAGAGAAAAAAAGAATCTGAGATACAGATTTTTTTTTTTTTTTTTCCTGACAATAGAAGCCTATGGCATCTACAAGAAACAAGACCACAAACACAACCAAAACAAACCACTGACTAACCATAGCACCACAACAAAAACAACAAAACCCACGACCACGAACTTATAACGACGATCCCTATCGAATTTACAGATATGAGCAAACACACAAAAGACACCTGACAAAGAAAACCACCATAGGAATAAACCATGGGACCCAGTGTAATAATTCCCACACTACACCAACAGCCACACAAAGAAGGAAGTAAGTTCCAGAAGCGTATGGTAGCATCTCTGCATGCCGGCAACGCCATAGACACCTAACTATATTTCTAACCCTATGTTGGACAAAAACATGACATTAGAGGGATCGATATTTGGTGGACCCAGCCTTCTAGTAAAAACCAGCCTTGCGTCGTCCCCACACACTAACAAAGAAAAGTTTAACCCAGAAGCCAAAGTCAAACGCTACAGGAGACGACAGAAGAAACGAGGGGGACCAAGGGTTACACGGCTACCAATCAGACCAACTGTCGGCGAACCACCAGCAGGAAGAGCCACGTCTGGAACAACAAAACACCACAAAGAATGGAAAACAGCATAAAACCTATGCTCCAAATGATGTCCAGCCTCATAATTTTTTTCCGGCAACAACAATCCATGACCCATAGTCAATAGCGGCCGGAGAAGAGGCAGTATGGAGCAAAGCAAGAGAAAAGAGCAGCCAACCTGCTTCATAAACACATCCAACGCGCAACAACCCTAAATGTGAGAGAAACTTCAACACGTAGGACCAAAAAAACAACGCACCACAAGAACCGAAAAAACCCTTCCCAAATAGTGAACCCGCCAACAGATAATCAATATCAATAGCCACCCCTACCCCAGAACCCGTGGCCACTGATGAAAACCCGACAGTGACAAACAATTGGCCAGGCAAAAGTATAACTAACAGAGAAGCCAGAAAAAACAACCAAATACCTGGATCAAAAAAGAAAAACAGTGGAGATCAGCCAAGACACCATTCACCTTTCAAAACACACAAACTAGAAACCTTTAGGACCCAAAAGATCATTAAAGCCGACCATCCACCTGAAATTTGTCCGGACCTAAGTATAGAGTCCATCCCATAAGAACACCATTGTGGAGAGATGATAACACGAGGAAGGAACAAACACCAAAGAAACCCAATAAGAGTAAGCCACGTAGACAAAGAAAGAGACCCAACAACAAGAAAACGAAAGAAAAAAACCCGGACTAGCAAAGAGACTTCGACGGGGAGGAGAAACCACACACAACCCTGGCTAGCAGAGAGAGAGAATTTATATATACACAATAACGCCTGTAAGTTATTTCAAAAATAGCTAAGAGATTCCACTGTAAGCGAAGATAGTACGTAGTAATCAATAACCTGAGATATAGATAGATTTGTATATATTTGTTCTTAATAAATAATATACAATAAAAATGCTCACGGAGAAGATTCAACTATAAACTGATATAATACAATTAAGTTTAGGGCTAAAAAAATAAAACCCCCCTGTTATTCACAAAAACTACATATAATCCCCTCAAGTATTAAAAAAATCCCTGAACTAATATAAACTATCACGTTGCCCCATTTCCATTACAAAACTGTTAAGTGACTACGAAATGACAATACTACCTTTATAGTATATTAATATTTTATTAAAATGAAATTGTGAATTTTAAATGGCAATTATGCCCCTGTATGAAACGATGTCGTGTGGGTTGTATAATCTAATAAAACAATTTTATGCCCTAAATTGTTGTGTTGTGTTTGTGTTTATGTTTGTGTTTGTGCGTGTGCCCTAAGTGTTCTGGAGGCGAGTGTTGAGTGTAATCGTTGAAAACGAGTGTAGTGTGTGTGTCTTGTGTCTATAATCGCTCAGTGGTCGAAGATCTTGGTGGATTCCAAGTGATTCATGTCACTTTTCTTGGACAAAATGGTGCCAAGTATAGACAAACTTTCACTTATTGTCCCTTTGTTGTTAAACTCATACGAACCTGTCACTCTGACAACAGCTGGATAGCCACAACCACATATTATGTTGTTATACCTGAGATCTTGCCGTATAACAGATTGTGTGGTGGAAGAAGACATTTGGGCTTCGGCTGATTGTGGTTTAAGGCTTCAAATGGTCAACTTAGGGTTGACACGGGCTACAATTTAGGGCTTTAAATCATCAATTGGGGACTTCAATCGATCAATTACGGCTTCAATGAAGTACTATAACTTCTTTTACTGCCGCTATGGAGGATACCACACCACTAAAATGAGAGAGAAGAAGATAACAAAACTGAAGCTTTGATCTGTAAAGGCCTATGCAATTTGTTTTATACTGAGAATGGCAATTTCGTCATTATGAGAGAATAAGGGTATTTTGGTTAACATAATGTAGTATATGGGGCACGTGATGGTCACGTGATAAGATCCCAATAATTTTAAACGGTCAACTAATGGGGAGGGGGTGATATGATATACTTTTAAAAACATGAAAGGGTAATACGATAGTTTATGTACTTGAGGGGCTTAGTAGATAGTTTTTGTAAACAACATGAGGGTTTTATGTTTTTATCCGTTAAGTTTATAGATTTGTTATTCTTTGCCAAATATATGTTCTTTTATGCCACCTTTATTTGAAAAAAAGATGAAAAACCTCAAGAGTTGCAGGAGATGAGGGTTAAAGAAGGACGACCGAAGAGAGGAAACACATTGAATGGGAGGGCGAAGAAGGGGATAAGTAAAATGGAGAAGGATCCTCTACTTGTTCCCCAGTTTGGGATATACAACAACATCTTAACATCTCACCCCTATAATACAACAATAAACGGGTTCGGGTCATAAATAGGTCGACACTATTAACCCGTTTAGTTAATCGCATCGTGTTTGGATTGAGGTGGTTCAACTCATGTAACCCATTTATTTCCATTTAACTATATGTGTCATAAACAAATTTATATTGAAGTTCTCTAAACGTATATTATAATTTACTCTTTTGTGGACTAGAGCCTATTTAGTAAATTGATTTGATTGAAACTTATATTTTTTTAGTATTTATTATTTGATTGACTATTATTAATAATTTAAATAATATAATTTTTTTGTTTTAGTAAGTAAGTCATTAACCGGGTTAAAGTGTAACTCGTTTAATAAACAGGTCAAACTAGCGTTGAGGGTTCATGACATGAAAATTATTAAATTAACGAGTTGACCTATTTAGTAAAATAGTACGGAGACAATTTTGACTCACAAACACAAATTCTCACCCTACTGCATTGCTAAAATTTTAAGATTTACCTATTAATTGCTGTCCCTCCTTGCATCGTCCAGTGCTTCTTAGTCGTAGATATTAAGAATAAAACAATTTGGCTACTCTTTGCATCACTCCTCCTTGTGTCCCCTCTTCCGTGGACCCCTGTATGTATTTCTGTTAGTCTGCTGCCACCCGATACTCGAATACAAACCCAACAAAGGTCTAACAAGTTTGGACCCTCCTTCGATTTAATCACAACCGTCATATTCCAAGTAGATTCCCTCTACTGGGTTTTTGCATAGCATAAACCTCTTTTGATTCAAAAGTTCGGTACCCAGATCAAACAAATGCTGACTGTTAAACCCTCTGTAATAACCTGAGATGCAGCTCAATTGTTTGATAAAATTTCCCTTACAAAGCTTAATTATCTCTCAGCTCTTGTCTCCCATTTTAATGCATATACATACATAAACAAACTGAAAATTGGATAGTGTTACCAATAGGCATCAGCCCAAAAGTATAATCTCCTCTACAATGGGGAGCTTGAGTGTTTGAGCCCAGCTAGGGGCTATATCGTGGGTGTGTGTACATTTGCTTGAACTTTTGGGGGAAAAAGAAAGGTTAGTGTTTTTTTTTTTTTTTTTTTGCAGATTCTGTATGTGTAAGTGTGTTGCCACCCATTGCTTTGTTATTTACTTTTATTTTTTGTTTTTGTCTTTTTGTTTTCTTTAAGCTTTAGTCTTGTTTGGAGTTTAGTTAGCATAAGAAAGAGGTATGTTTTTTGTTTAATATGACTATATATTGTTTAAACTTAGTTGGAGCATTAAGCCTGTCAGGAAGTCTATTTGCACAGTTTGGCTTATAAAGATGTCAAATTCATGCAGTGACCGTTCACTTGGTCTAATCATTGCTATTTTTAATTAGGATTGTCAATTAGAAAATCATTAGTACATAAAAAATTTTAAAATGTCATTCAGTATGTTGCACTGTGTTTGTTCCATCATTCTATATAACTTTCACATGCCGTAAAATCTAAATGTTATGTACTTCATGCATTTCTTAACATTGACTGTGTGCCATTCAACATGATGAAAATGATTGAATTGTAGTGAAGAGGTGAAGTGCTTCTTCATGGGTCAAGAATGTTGGATATGTTTTGATGGTCCTTATTTTAAGGAGTTACTGGAATTTAGTATTTGTTCGTATTTTTTTGAGAATCTTGGCTTAGAGACGGCCATTGTCATGCAACAAATAATATTCTGCTTATGATATGACTATTTTCATGCAATTACAGAGTGTTGCAATGGAGGACAAATCTGAAGAGCTTACGAGTTTGCTGAAAATTCTCCCCCCTGTAGAATTTTGTTGTGTCTATGGCTCAGCTCTCCATCCAAATAATTGTGACAAGGTTATAATTTTTTCTGCATGATTGACTTTTTCTTCTAACTATCATAATAAATAAAATAAAAAAAGAAGAAGAAGAAGAAGAGAAAAGGCCTTATCGTCTAATTCAATTTCCTTTTTCTTTTCTTTTGACTTTATTTTAATAATTTTATGTTTTAACTATCTGAAATTTTACCTCGCTTTTGGTTTTCCAGTCATCAATGGTAGATTACATTGTAGGTGTAGTAGATCATCTGCAATGGCATGCTGAGGTAAGTTTTGGATTGCATAACTTGTTTTTTTTTTTTTTTTAAATAAAAAATAAAAATCTTATTTCCGTCATTGAAGAGAACAGAAGTTCCATAGATTCTAATTGTATTTATTTATTTTTATTGGCACCACGAATTTGAAAATGAATCGAGATCACTATGCCTCCTGGATGGTGCACCTTAGCAGGGCAAGGCTGGTGCTGCTCTCTCTCTCTCTCTCTCTTAAATTGGTTCTTTTTTATTCTAAGATTAAATATTTGGTTTGTTGTGTTAGATTACTGATGTTGCAGATGAAATTAGTGTTGGAGTACACTTCAACCCATTTGTTACCAGGAATAACAAGGTATTAAAAATTCAACGAGTTCAATATCTGGTGTATCTGCATGCACACGCATAGAACCTATTGTACATCAGTGCTTTCGTTTGTCTGTTATATATTTTGGTATAAAATGTGTTTCAGGGTGTCTTCTTAAAATCCTTCACCCTTGAGCAATTTTTGGCAGATGTTCAAGTACGGGGTTGTTCGAATGGATGATTTGATACGGGATATACTCAATTGGGAGAGGTTCTATCTTAGTGGTCGATTACAAAAACTTGTATGTCTTCTCTAAGAGTGCTATGTTATCATTTTCTTTCTCTTTTTTAAACTTTGGACTTATCTTGACTTTATTTCTGAGGAAAATGATAGAAAAGAAATGTGTTTAGTTAAACCCTTTTAAAGGAAAGAGTGAAATCATATTATGATGTATTAGTTCCCACCTTGAATACTTAATACTCTTATGCCTTTACATGATGATACTGTAAGTTCCTTGTGAGTTGTGAATTATATTTCGATGTGAAAGAAAATCAGAAACCCTTTCATCTAAAAATTGATTTGGACTAATCATGATTGTGCCTTCACCTACCTCATTCCTTTCCTGTTTTCAGCCGTTTATTAGAAGCCTTTTTTGGTGTATGGGAAATGCATTATAGGAATAGAAAAGTTGAAATATACATAAAGAAGAAATAAATTCGTGAGCTCATTATGTGTATGGCATTATATTAATCAAGTATTCACAGTTTGATTGACGATATGCAATTTCTATATTTTCTAAGTTGTGTTTGATAAAATACAACTCAGTAGACATATACATTGAAATTAAAATGATAATTTTTACATCCATGGATTGCAAAAGAGAGTGAAAAGGAACAAAAAAAAAAAAAAAAAAACGTATCTACAATAATATAAGAATATATAATGTTAATAGTAATACCATTATGATATCGTACAGAGAAATTATAGTGTTTTGTAACATGCTAAGTGTGCTTGACTTCTTTACGTGATCATTCTTTCGGGGCCTTCTAAAATGAGGGCTCACTTAAAAGAAGAATTAGATCTAAGGTTGGGGATGTAAGGTTGAATTAGTTTTTTAATGATGACATCACTCTAAAGCTTAGGTATCTGGGAGATGTAAAATGAAACTTAATGAAAGAAAATAAGCTGCCATCATTCTAAAACTTAGGCATTACTGTAGAATGTGAACTTCATGGAAGAAACAAAGCTGCCTAAGATCGTAACAATGAACTTGGGTTTATGATTGAGAAGATAAGACTAATTTATATGGATGGAATAAGGTTTCGATTAGTCAGGTTGAAAACTAATTGAATCAAAAGAAAAACAAAAAAAAATTATACCAAGGGAAAATCAAGGTTTTAGTGCTAGATTGGTGATCGACACCCTCAGAGTACAAGTAGTGATTTAGACCTATTGAAAATAAAGTAAAGAGGAGAGACACAGTTTTACGTAGTAAACCCAACCGGAAATAATCATGGGACCTAGTCTAGATAGGCACAATCGATTATATGAGAAAGAAGTTACAACTTGTTTGACAGTTCCCACACCCTGGAACACCTCTAGTTACCTATTGACACAGATTGACACCAAACTTCCCACTCAAATCTTCAGGCCGTTTGTCTGCTAGTCAATATACTTCATTCCTCACAAATCTGCTTCTTCAGTGATTGTCCTCATTTTGCTCGAAACTTTGATCGGTTGATTTGATTTGAATCGATGAATTCCTCCTTATTGAACACTCATTCACATATAATGGTGTCTATGGAAACCCTAGATTGAGTAATTGGGAAATTTTACTCACTGAAGAATTTCTCTCCAGTTGTCTAGAGACTTCAAAATCATACCTAGGTTAACTATAATTCCGTATTTGTAGCTAACATAGGTAGCTCATACGTTTTTTTTTTCTTTCTTGGTTGGTACTCACATACACATGCCTCTACCGAGGCTCGAACCCCTGACCTCCCTTTGGGAAGTATGGTTTGGTACTGCTAGGCCATTGGCCCGTTGGTTAGGTAGCTCATTCCTTTTAGTAAGGTGAATCTATAAAATTGTGGTTTAAGAGAGTTTCCAAAGATATATGTATGTCAGGTTAAATCAATAGACATCCTCAGGAGTTGCCTCAACGCTCTTAGTATTTGAACCCAACAAAACCAACAGTTCTTCAATCTTCAGCCTCTGGAATGTGCTCCATCGATCAACCATCATTCTATTGTTCAATTTCAAATTCAGTTTTAAATAATGCCCTAATCATTACTGTAATACCCCCTAATTTTGGAACACGGATTGATCAAGTCCGCGCACAAAATCAAGGGATATCAAAACAATTTAAGTATTTAACAAGCACAGAATACAAAGATGAATAATAAAGAATAAATAAACCGCTGAAGAAAACTAATAAATAAATATTACTTAATGATTCTCCAACAATTACAATTCGGAAATCCCATAACTCAAGGACCCCTTAAAACATTATCCAATAATCCAATACTATTTAAAAGTACACAAGATGAATAGACGAATGACAGTCTCCCAGCTGCGGATCCTCAACCTCGAGACTGAAACCTCTAATAACCTGAAAAATAAATCGTGGGTTAAACCCTACGAGCAAGTTCACTCTACCAGGCCTCTGAAAACCAATAAGCAGATCATCTCTGATCAAAACCAAACCTAATAAAGTTTTAACTTTAATAAAGCACGATATACATGTCTATATATAATTATATATACTATACTAATCACATCCATTAATAGGTTTATTAAATTTCCATACCTATTAAATAATTATTAAAAAAATATTCATACCTAGACCAATCTACCATTTCATTTTATAAAAACTCCTTTGACCTTAATCCCATCCTAGTCAGTTGTCTAATCATTTAAATAACAAATTATAATAAAAGAAATACTCTATTTAATCCCAACCCGATAATGATTTAAATTGTTTAAATCACATATCCAAAATCCAAGTTTTGACAAATCATCCACGTCTTCCCCAATATTATTTTATTAATGTAAAATAATACACTAACCAGTAAGTACTAAACTATTCTCATTTAAGAATATCTAACCCTAATCCAATCCATACATACAACAACCATAGATAATATTTTAATCATCTAACACATAACAACGTAATTATGCTTTGGCAAATCAACCATGCCATTGTAAATATTTTTATTTATATATTGGCAATTCAACCATGCCTCCATAAGTATATTTATTTATACATTGGCAATTCAACCATGCCTCCGTGTATGTATATTTATACATTGGCAATTCAACCATGCCTCCACAGGTATATTTATTCATACATTTAATTAGCAATTCATCCATACTTTCCATATATGTATTCTATTCATACAAATATTTAGGTAATATATTTAATCATTTGACAATTCATCCATGCCCACACTTTAACCATGAATTAACTTTAAAATTAACAATACGCTAAATCATACATAGCCATCACATGCATATTATACGCATATCATTAATTTAACAACCAGCCTATTAAGATATGCCAAATAAGAATGATAATATTAATCATCTTAAATGATTTATATATATATATACCTACACATATGTTATTTAATGTATATATGTGTTTAACACCTTCTTTAATAATCCTTGATTATTTAAAATCAATATACATACATACATACATATATATATATATATATATATATATATATTCATCCTTCCATACAATTCATAGACAAATTAAACTATATATACCCATATATAAATAATTATATACTTCCTTCCATAACAAATTATTAATTTATTATATTTACCCAAATTAGTGCAACTAAATATGTCAGAAATAGTTTCCTTTAAATACTCCATATTGGTTTAAATAGTTTTCCGACACTTTCTCACTAAAACATAAATATCTCCTAGTAGGATGGGAATCTGATAATGAAATTGGTACCATTGGAAAGAAGACGAAAAATCCTTGAATTTGAGCTCAAGAATGACCCAATTTCGATTTAAAATGACTAAGTTATGACCGTTTTAATTTCTAGTGTCGAATTAGGCCAACATAGTTTCCCACGCGCGCCCACATGCTTACTATGCACTTGCACGCGCTAGATTCAAGCCTCCTTGTGTGCTGGTATTGGCTAAGCTCTTTCAGCTACCGTGAGCTCACCACACTGAATCCATCACTTCCTTTATGCCGCATCCAATGGTCATAAATGAGTGCGCAAATGAACACGCTCACACTAGATTATTTTCTATTAACTATAATAGATCTAAGGTCCAGATCAGCGAGTGCACCATCTTCTCATGGCCTGCAATACACCAAATAATCCCATAGTTGACCAGACCACTTCTATGGTCCAGATACACATGCGCACCAAAGTTTTATGCGCCGCGATGCACCATATCAATTCACATAAGTTTAATTAATCAAATGGCCCTAATTGGCATATACACCCTATTATCCTACACCGCGCCGCACTGGATCAATTCTTTATTGTGCCGCCGCTCCACATGCGCCAGTTACCTAGTATATATATATATATATATATATATATAAAATTATTTTCCTAACAAATAATAGGAAAATAAATCCTAATAAATTCCTAAAAATATCAGAAAAATTCCAGAAAATTACAGAACAATTCTAGAAAATAAAGAAATCATAATTAACTCTCTTGGGTCACAAATCCACCTATAGATTGATTTTAAAATATACATAACACCTATATATATCAATTAAAATCCAATAATCTAAAAATCAAATATAATAGTTTATACTTTTTAATTATTCCGATCTAACCATAATTTTTAAACAAATAAATTTAATTAAAGCCTTGATACTCAAGGTGAAATCCTTATGAGTTCTAAGAGGAAAGTTAGAGAAAACTCGCCTGAAGGTTTCGAAACGAAACCGACGCTTTAAGCTTTAATTATCTCTTCCAATTCCGACGTCCTCCTTTTCAGATCCGACCTCCTCCTTGTCAGCCCTTCTTCTTCCTCTCTCTCTGTCTGTTTTATTTTTCTAACGTGTAAAACCTTTAACCCTAAAGCCTTATGTGTATTTTTATACACCTTAAATTCCAAATCCTATTCCAACTAGTATTATGAATTAAAATAATAATCTTTAAATAATTTATATCTATAAACATATATATATATAAATATATATTCCTTCCATAATTAACTCATTAGTTAATTAAATCATATATACTTATAAATATCAATAAATATATATCTATATATATATATCTTTCCATAACAATTATTAATTAATTATAT